ATATATATATATATATTATCATGTCTAGTTTAAATTTAATAAGAATATGACAACTCTAGGAACTATATAGATATTCTCTAAATTCCAATAAACCAATAACCTCCTAACTTTTCTACATTACAATAAATCAATAAATCCAATAAACCAAGAAAGCCGGCCATAACTTCTCTATATTCCAATAAATCAATAAATTCCAATAAACCAATAAACCCTCCTATCTCCTCTACATTCCAATAAATCAATAAATTCCAATAAGCCAATAAATCCTCCTAACTTTTCTACATTCCAATAAATCATTACATTCCAATAAACCAATAAACCCTCCTATCTCCTCTGCATTCCAATAAATCAATAAATTCCAATAAACCAATAAACCCTCCTATCTGCTCTACATTCCAATAAATCAATAAATTCCAATAAACCCAATGAATCCTCCTATCTGCTCTACATTCCAGTAAATCAATAGATTCCAATAAACCAACAAATCCTCCTAGGTTTTCTCGCTCGCACGGCTCTCGGGCATACCTTCTGAGCTTCTCGCGGGTGTTTATCGGAATTTATTGGATTTGCCCTGCCTGTTGGGGGGGGTTCTGCTGCTTTGGTTTTTTTCCGCTGCGGTTTGGGCCGGTTGTGGTGCTTTTTTTTCGTTTTCTCACCACCGGAAATCCGATAAATATCCAATAAATTCCCAATAAAATCCAATAAAATTTATCGGTTTATTGGTTTTTATCGGATTTCTGGTTTTGGTCGGTTTGGGCATGTTTTTTCCATTTTTTTAAAAAAAAACAATCGCTGCAATCAAGCAACCGAAAAAAAGCAATAAAAACCCAATAAAATCCAATAAATTCCAATAAATTCCGATAAGTCAAGAACACATGTCATCGATTCTCTATATTCCATCCGGGCCTAACTTTTTGACATTCCAACATTCCAGTATAAACCCTCCTATCTTCTCTATATTCCAATAAATCAATAAATTCCAATAAACCAATAAAGCCTCCTAACTTCTCTAGATCCAATAAACCAATAAACCCTCCTATCTCCTCTATATTCCAATAAACCAATAAACCCTCCTATCTCCTCTACATTCCAATAAATCAATAAATTCCAATAAACCAATGAATCCCCCCATATGCATTTTCTCTACATTGCAATAAATCAATAAATTCCAATAAACCAATAAATCCTCCTAACTTCTCATAAATCATGATATTAAATTCCAATAAACCAACGAGTCCTCCTAATTCTCTACATTCCAATAAGTTATAGTAAATCCCAATCTTAAACCAACAGAAAGCCCTCGATCTCATGTCTAATTTCTATATCTAGCTATATAGGTAACACCCGATGTTTATATTCAATTTGGGACGGCCACAATTAATTAGTCTTGGAAAGCACGACGCCCGAGAGCTTGATTCGCTGGCAAAAGCATTAATTGAGTGTGTGTGCTAGACACGCAGGCAGCAAGTCGCATATGTACCGTGTGTGCAAACCAAATATGTATCCTTAAGGAAGCATTTCGTGATCGAAAGGGTGCCTTTTAGCTTTGGAGCTATGAAAAGCCCGAAGCGTCGATGTGCGAGCAAGACCACGGCCGAGCATGCTGCAAGGACCCCACCTCGTAAGGTGACAGCCCAGAAGTTGAAAAAAGAAAAGAGGAGGCAGGACAAGCACAAGGCGGCCGGTGCTGCGGCCAGCAAGTCTTTGCTGAAGAAGTCGAAGCATGCTGAGAATAGCAGCAGATCGGAAAGGGAGTCCGAGGTTCCCAAGTCGGTCAGCTTTGAGAAGCATGCTGAGGTCCTTCTGACAACCCCGCCCAGGAACCGCCGGCAGCGAGAGCAGCAGGTCGTCAATTCCCCCCGCATGTCGATGGATGAAGCCCAGAAGATAATTGATGAAATGGACGACCACAACGTGGATCCTCGCGAGACTTCTTCGGAGGCCAGCTTTGCAGATCCCCTATTGCATGAATTGTGTGTGTGTGTGTGCGTGTACAGCTATTGCGTGTGTGACGACATGTGTAGGCGGCAGAAGCAAGTGAGGAGGCTCCAAGTGGATCGTCGGCACCTGCCGATTCAGATGCAGAAGAGCAACAGAGTGAATGTGAAGATGAAGATGAGGATGGCGGCGGGCTGGACAGCGAGGAGTCGCTGAGTGAAGCTGAAGCTTCGGAAGTTTCCGAAGGCTCAGATGAGGAGCCCGCCGAGGAAGCCGCCCCGGAATCCTCAGATCCAGAGCCGAGCTCAGCCGAGGCATCTGGTGATGATGAAGCAAGTGCTTTGGCCAGCGAAGATGAGTCGGCAGAGCCGGTGCCACCGCCGAAGAAGGTGAAGCGCGCTCGAGATGAGCGAGAGACCCCGCGAAGGTCGGTTGAGGTACAAGCAAAGCAAAAGAAAGACGCAAAGAATGAGAAAGACAGGGGTTTTTCGTGTGGCAGGGAGAAAAAGCAAAGGCAGAGTAGCCCGAAGAGAAAGGCTGCAGAGGATCCCCGGGGCCAGGAAAAGCCCAAGAATAAGGACAAGGCTAAGAAGAAGCAAAGGCAAAGTAGCCCGGAGAGAAAGGCTGCAGAGGATCCCAAGCTCAAGAGCCGCAAGGCTACGAGAGATGCCGAGGATGGTGATGCAAAGGCCGGGACGGCCTTGTCGAAAGCAGAGCACAAGTTGCAGGCAGCGAACAGCAACTCACACCACACGGAGTACCTTAGGTTTGGTCGATGGATCAACAGCCGACGAAGATTCCCAAAAGTGCTACGAGACAGGATCGCCGACGAACCTAGCCGTATGCGCCTTTTCCAAGACTACATCGAGTGCGGCGGGAATGTGAACCAAATCATTGCAAAGCATGAACAATCACTTCGTGAGGCTCAGGTCAGTCAGATCAGGTTTGGCTTCAGGTCGGAGCAGTGGGTGAAATCTCAGCACGGGGAGTCCAAGGGGGCGAAGATCATCGAGCGCAAGAAAGCCCAAGGATTGAAACCTGACTACACTACACAAAAGAGAGCCACGAGGAGATAGAGAGAATAAGACAGAGGGAGAGAGAGAGAGAGAGAGAGAGTCAGAGATCAAGTGCACGCGAAACTTAAGTGTGCATGCTGGTGTGAGTTATGATGTGCATAGCTTTTCTGTGAATGCGTACAAGTCTTTAATCCGTATTGGGTCGGTGGGTTGGCGGTCTATAGGGCAGGGTTGGGGCCGGCCGGGTGTGGGTGGGGTGGGTGGGAATGTGGGGTGGGCTACAGCTACGGTGGGGTGGGGCAAGTGTTGGGCTGATTCCTGTCTGCAGTCTCTTTCTTTTCGAGTCGAGAGCATTGTAGGGTTTTGGGATTCTATAGAAACATGTTTGTCTTATGCTTGTTTATAACAAATATGTTTTGAATTCTGCAGATGAATAAGGACGATTGCCGATCCGGAATGTCCAGACGATTCTCTCTACTTTGTTTTCGTCGAAATTAACGTCGATGACATTCGCGAGATTCAGAGGATTACGAAGCTGGAACTAGCAGGGCAGATAGACGCAGAGATGTTGAAGGCTTTCACGGAGGCAGGTTTTGTTGCCAGCGTGGTAGTTGCTGTCATGTTGGTAGTGGCAAATTTGCACGGGAGGCCGGAGGAGTCTTGGACCCGCGCAAGCAGCTCGCTCTGGGCAATGGGGTCAGTGCGGATACTATGGGCAAGGCTTTGCAGATGATGGGGAGTGGAGCCCCGGCGTCGGGTGCAGCGAAGGCGAAGGCCAAGGCCTCAAAGGGCAAGGCTGACCCAAGCAAAGCGACCAAGGTGGGACGCAAGGGATTATATAGTTGAAGTAGATGTGATTGTAACTTGTTGGCTTTTCAAACAGGTGGTGCCGGATACCCCGCTGGAGAAGGCGAAGATCCTGTTGAGCGGTCTGCTGAAGGACAAGAACTGCTGCAGGTGGGTGACCGATGCATAAATACATTTGTAGACTGCTTGTGTTCGATAAGGGACTATGCATTCAAGCTGAAGCCCCTCAAGCTGTCGGCCACTTTGATCGATCAGCTTCTGGCCTTGGAGAAATCGTTCTCCCAGAAGGCCACAATTTCGCAGTCGTTTGTAGTTGATTCAGTGTCGATTGGGGTTGTTGTTTGTGTTGCAGGCTGGGGATCTGCAGAACCTTGTGTCGACGAAGAAGAACAAGAACAAATACTACAAAAACATCACGTTCGAGGCCAGAAGCTCTTGAAAGACAAATGAATTTCACTTGTTAATTTGTGGCAGATCAACAAGCTCAAGGAGCAGGCTAAGGAGCGCATCGACTTGGCAAAGGCACTGATTCGTGCAAGTGAGAAGAAAAATGCCCCCGGCAAGCCCAAGGCTGACGGGGAGGAGGGTACGAAGAAATCCAACAACAAAGCCTAAGGGGTGACGGGATTTGTTGCACTGCGCAAGATCGAACAACTGTCAGAGTCAGCTACAGTAGGGTGAGGATCTGATCGAGTGCATGTTTGGAGTGTTGATGTGTACGCATGCGAAGAGCAGTGCCGCAGCATCCCGGAGCTAGAGCCTGTGGCCTTAACTCGTCTGTGTACTGCTGCGCATGGTCGACACTGTAGAGTTGCACTACCTCCGGCCAATCTTTAATCAAGTGGGCTGTCCTCGTAGCAGTATAATGACATGCGTAGATATGATTGAAATTTGTTGGTATCAGTGCAGCTTGCAGGCAGTGTTGTGTAACAGTCGCATGGCGCCGGCTTTTCACAGGATACCTCGGGATGTGTGCTTGGATCCGTGCTGTGTTTCAAACGAATCTCGTGCATTGCACACAGCATGTCGTGGCAGTGAGTAATTATCGTACAACATATACATATATGTGCAGCGTACTGATGGGTAAACCCCTCGCAGGGCGAGATCTCGCTCTCGGTCGCGAGGTGCGACTGCAGAGGAAACAAAGGCACGCAACTTGGATGGCAAAAACACGTGTAGGTGCGATGTTGTGATGCAGCTGTGTTGTAATACATTTCTTTTCAACACCAAACTGTAGGCAATGGTTTTTTCGATGCTACTACGACTACCACCGCGGTTGCTGCGAAACTCAGTGGATGCTCAGCTGCATATACGGCTGTGTGCATTTGGTTTTCGGCACTGGTTTGCAACTGCATGCGTGGATGTGCTTTGAGGTCGGGCTGTGCTCGCGAACACGAGCCATTCGGCTAAACGAATTTTACGTGAGATTTGCGGCGGAGTGCCTCGGCTGACTATATGCCTTTCTAGTACGAGTCCGATGCTACTTGTCATTGTGTGCAAACCCAGAAGCTGGCTGCTGCTGCTGGGGTTCGGCAAGCGCAAGACCTTCTACGAGATGGTTGTGTGTGCCCTCTGGCTTCTGTGTTGGCTGGATTCTCCGTTGGGCACGAAGAACGAAGCTTCGCAAGGCTTCACTGGGATCATTTGTTTTTTGTGTATGTTTCCTGGGCTTATTGTTTCTTCATCGTGAAAGAAAACTTTGGGTGAACTAGGGTTTGTTCGGGGAACATGTTTTGCAGGTGGTATTCAACAATTGCTGAGATTCCGGAAGGTTGGGTGGAACTGCCATTACGTGTTTCTGAGAAGGATGGCAATTTCGGCTTGCGCAGTACCATGCATGCCACGGCTATAACTTGGCCCTGGGATGTGCTGAACTGGCTGTATTGCCACGATAAACTTCTTAGCTGGGCGTCCAACGATACCAACCCGGAGAAGGTTCATGAAATGAACACCGAATATTGGACTCGACTTGGTGATGAAGACTCCGTGAAGGCTCTAGACCTCAAGGACCCCGCGAGAACTTTTCCAATCTTTTGGCACGCAGATGGTGTACGTGTTTATAAACATCAAAAGTGTTGGGTTTATTCTTATTCCTGTGCACTGAAGAAGGGGCCTTCCTTATCTTCAAAGCTCATGCTGTTGCTCGTGCGAGAAACGCTGTTGTTGAAACCGACGACGCACGACCGCATCGGGGAAGTGGTGGGCTGGATACAACGTGTACTCCAGACGGGCAAGTTTCCCAACACCGATGTTAATGGCAAAGCCTGGGCAGCGGGGTCCGTAGAAGCAAGCAAAGCCAACCGTGATTTCGCTGGGGGCTACAAGTGTGCCTTCAGTGCATTTAAGGGAGATTGGGAAGCTCGTGTGCAGATTCACAAGCTACAGCGCAGTTACCTCCACAACAACATTTGTGAGCATTGCCCCGCGTGCAAAATGGAGAACGCCTTCAACTACCGCAACTTCTCCCCCGATGCGGCTTATTTGCAGGTGCCTTTCACACATGCGCAGTACCTCGCCATGAACCCCCCGGAGCTTCAGTCGAGCTGGTTGAATGTGCCCGGATGGACAAAAGACAGGAACCTGGAGGAGCCCCGATTGGATTTGTTTCAAGCGAGGATATAGGTGTTTTCGTATGTTTTCGTGTCTACCAGGGACCTTTTAAAGCAATCTAATATACTTCGTTCTGCCAACAACCACTGATTGCAGGATTTGTTGCATGTTTTGCACCAGGGGGTGGCGTGCTTCGCGGTGCCAGCGTTGGTATCTGCGCATATCGAAAAAAGATCGGGGACGGCGTACGACTGCAAGATTTGAACTCCGAGCTGGAGGGCCGTGTGTGGAAGCACTACAAAAGCTGGTGCGGAAAAACCAAAGTTCCAGGATGTGGTCACCGTTTCAACTTGACACGATTTGGTCGTGAGTCGTGGGTAAGCTATCCTGAACTGCAGTCCTGCTACAAAGCCTACACCGTCAAGATGATGATATACTGGGTGCATGCTTTCTTGAATGATGAAGACGTAGGAGTACCCGGTGCAGATGACCGCATCAGTCTGGCGTATTCGCTGTCTAAGATGCAGTGGCTGTTCGACCGCAGTGGTTCGTTTCTGAGTACATCAAACAAGGACGAGGCCGTGAGGTTGGGAAGGACGTTTCTTTTACTCTACCAGTCCATGGCTTTGGAAAACATGGGTCAACCAAAGAAAAACTTTAAGATCGTTCCGAAGTTCCACAGCCTTCTTCACCTACTGCTGTATGTGAATCGAACGTCGCGGAACCCGAGGCACGCCAGGACAAGTCATGGGGATTAAGTTTTACAAGGCTTCACGCTTTGGACATAGAGGGGAATAAGACGAATGACAGAGTTGGTGATCGCGAATAAACGAACTCTGCGCGCAGGTGGGAGCACTGCTACCAGGACGAAGATCTCATGAAGCAAATCGGCTACATAGCATCGTCGACGCATCCTTTCACGATGGACAAGGTGACGTGCAGTCGCTACCGAGCAATGTTGGAGTTCGCCGGCATTTGGTGAGCTGGAAAATATCCGGATTTCGAAGCCGGGGATTTCGAAGCCGACTCACTCTCACTCTCTCTCTCACAATTCTCTGTCGGCCCCAAATCCCCAAATCCATTCAAAGCCTGGCTCTGGTATGTTTCAAATATATCACAACTATTGTTTTCTATGGAAGCCTGAACGACCCGAAGCCCAACAAAGCAGTTCTTCGGCGCTGGGGGTGATTCAGGGTTTCGGGGTGAGGGTTGCGAGTTTTCGGAATTATTTCTTGGGGATGCAGGCCCCGAACACTTTTCAGCATCATCGTTCGTACTGTCAGGCCCTGGAGTCCCAAAAAACAATAATGCAAAAGATGGCCTCAATTGAAATTCCGTGGGGTTTAAAGGAGTTGGGTTCGGAACTTCGGATGTTGCTTTCGGAATTCAGTGCTCCAAACTTAAAACTTCCAAACTCGAAGCCTTAAAGCACCCTACCTTTCAGGTTTGCCTCACGGGGACCCACACTTCAAACTTCCAAAGCTCTACAATTCAGTGAACGATCGGAGACTACACTAATTTTGTAGAGTTATATTTTGTAGAGTTATATTAACCTTAACCCGAGAACCTTAATTTCTCTGGCTCAAGCATTGGCTCAAGCAGTATTTTTTTGAATACTGCCAGGACCCACGAGAACTGAAGACTCGGACATGCGAAACCCGAGACACGGAGAACATATTCGAACAGATTTCACACAGCCCTTCAATCATACCAGCTTGATTGAGTTACCTTGACTGTGACACACAAACCGTAACAAACCTGCTATATCCCCAACAGGACATTGGGGATGTCTTCCATATTAACCTTCACGCTTCAAATTGTGGGAGGCGTGCAATTCACGCTCCTGCACGCGCGCGCCCGGCGCGCGCTCTCAAATGGAGCGTGAATTGCACGCCGAAGCGTGTGCTCACGCTTCTAATAAACGCTAACAGCCCGCAAGGGACAAACGTACCGTTCCCGAATTCAACTGTGGCTCAAGCGTTGGCTGAATATGTGTTTCAAATTCTGTGTGTGCGAAATCAAGAGTATTGAATTGGAAACGAGTTTCAATTGTGTTTGATTGGAACAACAGTGCTCTCCCTAATCCAATCTTCACGCTAAAGCACACGCTTCTGCGTGCATTTCACGCTCCCGCGCGCGCGTGCGCGCGCATGGCGCGCGCACGCGCGCCTGGCGCG